AAGTCAATATTTACCTTATGTAAATGACTCACTGTACACTGTGCAGCTTCAGCGGTCTTTGCTGTTTCTGGCAAGTCTAGAGTACGTCCACACGGCTGAGATGACACCGGTGACAGACCAAAGTGTGCATACTATCTATATTGCCAAGTTCATGCAGCTGGTGTTGTCACAAACAGTGCAAACACAAGTCGTGTCGAACAGTTCCTGTCAGCCTCTGGCCAACACTTGATAAGTTAAAGAAAAGTTCTTTTTAATTGCACTCAGACCGTCTCAGATGTCCACAGCTCCAGAATGGTTCATTTATAATGTGCTTTGTGAATGCAAAACTTTCACTTTTAGGATATTAATAGATTCCAAATATATTCAGGCAACTGTTGTGCACAAACATCTGTGGATGCATAAAACCAGCACAGAATAACGGCAGAACTCAACTAGTCAACCTGATGCATAACATTTTGCACAACAGCTTTGTACAGTGATCTGTAATCATGCAAAAGTGACCATACAGTGCAGCGTTTTGCAATCACGAAGCGCATTAGAAACAACATCTTTTCCTGAAAATGTAACACCAAAATGCCCTCTTTTGTCATGCTAAATCTACACCGAGCTCTCGGCCTATAGGCTTTCGAATGACAGTTTCTGTGATAAATCAGAAGTGCAAGGCGAAGAAGTTGCTGTCGCAGAGAGAGTGGGTGTACTTGTGAGAGGCATCGGGCCCAGTTACTACATTAGCCGGTTTGTGAGACAACAGATGGAAGCGTTTAGGAGGGCGGGAGGAACAGAGGCTCGGGAAAAAGAGAGGGAGTGGGCGGCACTTCAGACAATCCCGCTAAAATTCCCATGTTCTCTCGTTGCTCATTTCTCATTACACGGTCATCAAAAGGCTTGCACGCCATTTAAGTCAATTTTTAGGGAGGTGATAGAAAATCCAAAAGTGTAATTAGAGGAAAAAATAAAGTAAATTAAAATTCTTTTTGCAAAGTCTTTCCTGCTCCCTAAAGTACAAATGAAGTCACAGAGGAACACTCAAGCTTCCTCGGATACGAAAATGAAAAGGAAACGCACGCACACACACACACACACACACACGGAAAGTGAAAGCAAGGACAAATGCTTGAGACGCTCAGTAGTATACTCAAAGGAGACCCCACACTAACTCTGATGTCTTCCCTTCAAAATGATTAAAGCTGGAGTTTCCAAAAGTGGCAAAGTGCTTGTCTTTAAGCCTCAGTCCTCCAGGACGCGCTCGCTTTGACGGGGTCTGCTTCGACTCTAATGGATGAGGATCCTACCATTCGCTGTAGCTCAAACAGTAGAGCGTTGGCGCTTGCAACGCCAAGGTCATGGGTTTGGTTCCCATGGTAAACAAGAACTGATAAGAATGTAAATGTGTACCTTGAAATGCAATGTAACTCGCTTTGGATGAAAGCGTCTGCCAAATGCATACAATGTAAAAATGTCACAGAAGCTTTTAAAGAAAATAGTTCAGCTAAAAATTAACATTCTGTCATTGTTCACTCAATCACTCGCATCATGCCATTTCAAACCTGTATGCTGTTATTTTTGGTGCAACACTTTTTCATACAAGGTCTATATGTATGCCCTTGTGCACTGTATTCCATGTCTTATAAAGTCATACGATAGATTTGCGTGAGGAAATAATTTAAGTCTCTCAAATGTCATGCTTAATTCTGCATTTTGAAGTGGTGCACAGAAACAATGACTTTTGGCATCAATGCAAAATATTTACTTTTATTCATTTGGCAGATGCCTTTATCCAAAGCAACTAACATCGCAGTCAAGCTATAAATAAATATACATATATATATATATTTAAATAAATGAATAAATAAATATAAATAACATCAAAGTGATGCTTTTAAATGTCTTTTACATGAACACAATTAAGAGATTTGGCAGAAGGGAATATTATCAGTGAACATCAACTTAAATTTCAGTCAGTTTTTATATAGGTATTATATAGTATAAGCAAATTATATATTATATACTACTGTATTATTTACTGTATTTTTGTGTTTTTGATCACCATAAACTCTCTTTGTATGCAAAAGATTCTTTTTTTTTTTATTTAAATTGTATTATTATTATTGCAATCATCGGAAAAAAATAACAGACAGGTTGAGTAAAAATGACAGAATTTTTATTTGTGTAAACTACTTCTTTAAACAGTTGAAATGCATATATCTAGCAACATCTAACGACACACATTTGAAGGAAACTATCACCCATTGAGTACTGGTGTTTTTGTTTTTACCACTGCAGTAAGAAACACACACACACTTGTTTAAGTATGTTATTTACAGTATGTTTCTGCCCTGAGGTGCTGATATCCGTCTAATGTATAAGAGCTGGACTGCACATTTACTCATGCTGGTTTCAAGCCCACTGACTGTCAGTCACGCTCACATGGAAACATATTCTGGCACAGAAACAGACCTTGGTGTTAACATTCATTCACGGCAGTGCTGTTAACACAGGCTGTGAGCTGCAGGCAGGCTTGCCAATCATTACGAGAGTAAGTTAACGTAAAGTTAAGTAAAAAAGCCTAGTGTGAAATCCTATTTCTTGTCATTTGGTGTTAAACACATGCAAACTTCTGCTATATATTTAATCGTAAAAAATGATGGCTTAAAATGAGATTTTCTGTCAAAACAGAAGTGTGGACTGCTTAGGGTCAACCTGGGTCATGTGTAGATGCTATTCCCTGTCTCTCTCTCTTTCTTTCTTTCATTTTTTCTTTCTTTATATATATATATATATATATATATATATATATATATATATATATATATATATATATATATATATATACACACTAACCTAAAGGATTATTAGGAACACCACACTAATACTGTGTTTGACCCCCTTTCGCCTTCAGAACTGCCTTAATTCTACGTGGCATTGATTCAACAAGGTGCTGAAAGCATTCTTTAGAAATGTTGGCCCATATTGATAGGATAGCATCTTGCAGTTGATGGAGATTTGTGGGATGCACATCCAGGGCACGAAGCTCCCGTTCCACCACATCCCAAAGATGCTCTATTGGGTTGAGATCTGGTGACTGTGGGGGCCATTTTAGTCCAGTGAACTCATTGTCATGTTCAAGAAACCAATTTGAAATGATTCGAGCTTTGTGACAGGGTGCATTATCCTGCTGGAAGTAGCCATCAGAGGATGGGTACATGGTGGCCATAAAGGGATGGACATGGTCAGAAACAATGCTCAGGTAGGCCGTGGCATTTAAGCGATGCCCAATTGGCACTAAGGGGCCTAAAGTGTGCCAAGAAAACATCCCCCACACCATTACACCACCACCACCAGCCTGCACAGTGGTAACAAGGCATGATGGATCCATATTCTCATTCTGTTTACGCCAAATTCTGACTCTACCATCTGAATGCCTCAACAGAAATCGAGACTCATCAGACCAGGCAACATTTTTCCAGTCTTCAACTGTCCAACTTTGGTGAGCTCTTGCAAATTGTAGCATCTTTTTCCTATTTGTAGTGGAGATGAGTGGTACCCGGTGGGGTCTTCTGCTGTTGTAGCCCATCCGCCTCAAGGTTGTGCGTGTTGTGGCTTCACAAATGCTTTGCTGCATACCTCGGTTGTAACGAGTGGTTATTTCAGTCAAAGTTGCTCTTCTATCAGCTTGAATCAGTCGGCCCATTCTCCTCTGACCTCTAGCATCAACAAGGCATTTTCGCCCACAGGACTGCCGCATACTGGATGTTTTTCCCTTTTCACACCATTCTTTGTAAACCCTAGAAATGGTTGTGCGTGAAAATCCCAGTAACTGAGCAGATTGTGAAATACTCAGACCGGCCCGTCTGGCACCAACAACCATGCCACGCTCAAAATTGCTTAAATCACCTTTCTTTCCCATTCTGACATTCAGTTTGGAGTTCAGGAGATTGTCTTGACCAGGACCACACCCCTAAATGCACTGAAGCAACTGCCATGTGATTGGTTGATTAGATCATTGAATTAATGAGAAATTGAACAGGTGTTCCTAATAATCCTTTAGCTGAGTGTGTATATATATATATATATATATTTTTTTTTTTTTTACAGTGTTTCCTTTTCACTTTTAACTTTAAAGTAAGAAACCTGGTTGCCTTCACATTTTGAACTACAAATTTGAGTTAGTACAAAGAAAGAGATTAGTTTAATTAATGGAAACTCAAAATATTACGTTAGCTACACAACATTAGTGAATCTAAGTTGATTTGACAAAAGAAAAAAAAGTTGTGGTAACAAATCATGAAAAAATGTTTTATAGTGAATGAAAAACACTTTTACAGTACACATCGATCTCGATTCAAACTAATGTCCACATATATTACCTCATTTGTTTAACAGTGAAAGTTATATATGTGAACATTAGTTGATGCACAATGAACTACAAAGTAACAAGATTAAAAGAAAATCTTCTATTGTCAATAATAGCTAAGGCTTTTCATTGATGCAACTTTTCCACCCTTATCGTAAAGTGTTGGAGGTTATAAAATAACTCATTTTCATGGAGGGACAAATTAACAATTGAAGTATAGTGATCCAACATCAAAATTAACCAGCTGTGATCAGCATAGACATTCATTTGGAACATAATTAAACCACCAGGCAATGAACCCTGAAATTACAAATGTTCTGGATACTAGAGTAAAACTCCAGGTGTTGAAACTCCAAAGCATTTTTCATAACTCTGGGAGTACTTGCAGCTGATAATGTTTATGGTTGATTCCATCC